GGGGGGGTCCGCCCCACCCTCATAAGCACACATGTCAACCTTATACACAGACACCTGCTCCGACCGCATGAAAAGCTCAGACACTCTCAACTGCCAAGCCTTGCTGCACTGCGGGTGGACCACAACGAAATGGCCACCTCGATCCATCACCTGACGAGCCAAGGTAAGGACTCGGTTCCACACGATGTTGTCGCGGGCGATCCTCCAGGAGCTGAGATCACCTTCAGGGAGCCCGTGAGGTCGCGAATCACCTGCCAGGCAAGCACTGCACATAGGAGAAAAAGTTCTCAGCGGGGGTGCCAGCCACAGCCATCGGACCTCCCCCTCGGCAATCAGCTTGTCGATGGCCGTGCTCAGAACTTCCTCATCTCGAAAAGCATTCACCTGACAGCACATGGGCCACCCTCGAGCGCGGTATAAACTCGTCACTGGTGCAAAGCCTGACCCAATCTCCAGGCCAGGAGGGAGCAGCCCAGCAAGGGCCACCCCGAATCGTCGCATCCAATCCTGGGGGCAACTCGGTGCTGGGAGTGGCTTAAAGCGTGAGGGCCAGTCTGCAAGGTTCGCACTGGTCTCGATCCACAACAAAGCGAGCGTCACGTCGGCAAAGATCAAAAACGGAAGTTGGCCCCTAAGGATTCCATTGAGTTTGTATGAAGACGACCTCCCCTTACTCACTGAGCCAACCACTACCAAAGAGTCATTGAGGGCAACCTGCACTGAGCCAGCGTTGTTAAAATCACCGGTGAACTTAACAATCTCTCGACGAAGTGCTCGAGCCTCCTGTAAGTTGATGTGCGAAGTTTTCCGGAAAGTAAAGCAGCCCACAACCTCCCACGGTAAGCTCTCGGAGATAGCTGCGGCAAAACGAGAGCTCTCTATAGGTGCCTCGCCAGCGATGTTCATGTTGTCGCGATCCAGCCTGACAGGGGAGCCGCGAAGTTCCGAACGCCTCCAAAGTTCACGAAGTAACGAGGGGCTGACCGTGGCCCGCACCGCCCCTCCTGAAGTCGGAGTTGCATCCGTCGCTAAGAGTGACTCGTGCAATCTCTTTCGCATACACCACTGAGCCAAAGGAAGATGCAAAGCCACTGAGCGCAGCTCGTCCAACACAAAGGCGGGGAGCCAGACCTTCCTGCCTGGCTTCAGCTTTTCTACAAACATGTAAAGGTGATAGATCAAGCTGAACATCTCTCGCCTATACTGGAAAATGAAGGCAATGAACCCCAAGAGCTTTTGCAGGATCTCCTTGCTCGCAGTGCCTGATTGCACCGTTTTGGCAATGAGGGACCAGACTTGACGACGCATCTCCAGTGGGGCTCCGACCGTGCCCCGGACCCCGTCTATCTCAGCGCCCCAGGCCTTGAATTTTGTGGTGCCCCGAAAAGCTTTGTGCGTGGCGCGCTGCAAACCGGCCTCCTCGTAAGCATCCTCGGCGATCTTGGTGTGCTCGATGTCCCGGTCCGTGGCCTTCCAAGCTGGGGGTTGAAAGGAGCCGTCTAGGGGGATCTCGGTGTTCAAGGTCACACGCAACGTCACTAGCAAATCGTCAAGGTACACGCCTTCCCACAAATCATCCTCAGGAACGAACTTGCCATAGACAAGCCTGTTCTCCGGCCTGAGGATCCCAAACTTGCGGAGGATGGCTTCGTGAGTCGCTTGCGCGATAGAGCATCCATTTCGGTCCCCCATACCCAGCACACGAAAACAGAGTCTATACGCCACCCTTGGATCCCCACCGTACTTCTGAACCACCTTGGAGCACACTCTACGACCCACCGAATTGAAACGTACCCAGCCTTGAGGAAGCCGAAGCATGTAGTAAAAGTTGCGAAGATCATCACCTGAGCCACGAAGGTACTGGTTCGGTTCCAAAAGCATTCTGGTAAAACACGCCCCGCTCAGCAACTCCTCCCATGCCAACCTCGGCATCGTGCTGTTCTCAGGCCGCCGGTCGAAGATAAGGCGATCCTCGCACTCATTTTTCCCAACACAAAAGAGACCACCCACAAGGAGCTTCCCTTCGGATGTGTGAGGGAGATCGGCCTCCTTGACCAGCTCGGCCATCCCAGTCTCAAGGAGCTTCTCCGCCAAAGCACTCTCTTCAGCCTCCGGGACACGATGACACGCTACCACCACATCTTCCCAAAGGTGTTCAGGGAGGCGAATAGCCTCCAAGTCTCCTACCACCGCCGCCTGATCTGGAGGTAACCACTCCAGGGGGTCAACACGCCCCGCCGCATCAGGAATCGCAACCCTAGAGGCAGATACAGACAGAGCCCCCGAAGGAACCCCAACCTCAGCCCCACCATAGCTTGCAAAGTTGAGCTTCAACATGTCTTCAAGAACCGATCTCTTGCCCTGGCATTCTAGAAGACCTGCCACCAACTCAAAAGAAGCGAATTGGCTCACCTCGCCGAGCAGCTTAAGAGCAAAATCTTGAACATCAGCTCGATAAACTACTCGCAGCTCCAGTGTAGACCTCCCCGGGCGCGGGCAGCCAAGCACCAGAAAGTTTGACCAAGCCACAAACGTGTTTACGAAGGCCCGGCCCCACCAATCACAGGCTTGACCACGGTCGCTAACAACCTCGACTAAGGTCACCTCAGGAAAAGGCAAAACACAAGGGAAAAGTGGCACATCATTGCCGGTCCGAACCGGCAGGGTACCATGGACGCGTTCCAGCCAGGCCACATAATTGATAAATCTTGAATTCCTTCCACGCAAGCCCGGATGCCTTAAGCAGATGGGCCCGTCTCCATGCACTGACTCCTGAGTGATCACTTCCGGGAGGCCCCAGTCGCCTCCTCGTCCTCCTCGTGCGGCCCGTGGTTCTGCACCTCCTTGACACGCTTCTTCAGCTTTGCAAGGGAGGACATGTACTCGGCCACAATCGACATCTCCTCTTTGCTGCCTCCGAACTCCTTCTTCACCAACGGGTCGGGGAGCCCAGTGAGAAGCCAGGCAGCCTGCCAATCGCCCTGAGCCAGGACACTCTGGATCTTGGCCTTGAGGTTCTGAACAAGCTGGGCCGCCGCCTGGTCGGATTTGCCTTGTCTGATCATCTCGTAGGCTGCCACGTCCATGATGGCGCACCTGTAAATCCCCTTGAACTTCCCCCACGGCTGGCGTTTCACGTAGTCTTTGAGTGTCCAGCTCGCACCAGCTGGAACACCCAACTCCTCGATCACCTCCTTCTCGAAGATCTCGCAAATCCTGCGCGGCCGCTTCTCCACCTGGGCATGCAAACGGTGCAGCGTGGACACAGCTCGCATCCCCTTTCCTCTGAGGTCGTCGTCGCCCTCCGAATCTTCGGAGGACCCACCACCAAGGAGTTCTGAGCTGCCGCTGGCTCGTTCTCGCCGTCGTTGGCTGCCTTCTTGTCCTTGTCGAGCAGCATCGTCATCATCATCAGGGGAACCAGGTCGTTGCTGCTCTGGCCGCTGGCCAGGCTCTGGGCAAGTAGAGCCTTCAGGTCCGGAGGCTCCTTGCTGTCCTTCTTGGGCTTGGCCTCCTTGGTACCGCGACCCCGCGAAGATGCCGGAGCACCTGGGCGGAGATGCGAAGCAGGCTCCCAGGCGTCTTCGTCGTCGTCCGTCTCGTCCTCTTCGTCGGCGTCGTCCCGGCCCTTCCGAAAAAGAGCACCCAGGGCGCCGAGATCCATCTCGACTCGGCTCTTGGGCTTTCGGCTGCCCTTGGCTGCAGGTCGCTCGGCCTCGCTGCTTGAAAGGTTGCCGCTGTTCACCTGCTTCCATGCTGCAGCCGACGCTTCCCAAGGGGGGAGGTCCTTCTGCTTCAAACCACTCCAGTTCTCTGGCCGATTCAAGCTTAAAGAGCTGACAGGCACTCGAATGAAAGCAATGTCTACGCCGTGGCTCTTCCCTTTGGCCTGATTTGGCACTCCCGCCACCGAAGCCAAAGGAGCAGCCAGGAAAGCTTCACTCTCCTCTAGCTCTACGATCCAACCAGTCACTGGAATGTCCCCCGCCGAGCCATGGCAAACGACGAAAACTACGTCTCCACTTTCCATGATCACAAAAGAGCTTGAGAAGTCGCAGCATTGAGGGCCCGGCTTTCGTCACAAGAACAGGCACTTGCACTTCCTCCGGACAGTTCTGCAGGAATGCTGCTTCAACCCTACACCCTGCACCCCTCCCTCCCTCCTGTCGAAGAGCACGCTGCTCAGCTTCAGGTTCAAGTGAGGGCTGCCCAGCGTGCAGCTCCTCCTCGGTCTCTCTCCGGGATTTTCACGTAGTGCTCGGATCTTCCAAGAAGAGTTTATGAGGTTGGGGTTTAAGGGTTTACACTCTCACAACTCGGACAAGCTAGGCGAGGTTCATGGTGCGAGGTCGGCGTGAAACAGGAAATGACAACCCACACTCGAAACCCGATCCCCAAAAAGAACCGCATCTAAGAACCAATCCAGCCTAAAGCGGCGAAGACTCATAGGGTTTAAGGGTCTTGGGTTTTGGGGTTTAGGGTGGAGGCTTCCAGTGTTTTTTGCGTTGCTTAAGGGGGCTCACCCTTGGACTCCCAGATCAAACACACCCCATTGGCCCTAGACGTCTCAAGGGCCCCTGGCAGATGGCTCACGGCACTCGCCACCGCGGCGCCCAAGCGCAGGCGATCCGCCTGAGCGAAGCAAGATCCTACGAGGGTGTGTCAAAAAGAATCCTCATGTAGGAACCGGATTCGGAAACACCAGTTCTTATGAGGGCTCTCATTGTAAATCCTGCTTGGTTGGACTTGTTTAACCAGGGGGCTCCTTATATAGTCAGCTTCCTACATACGGTGTCTTACGTGGATTAGGGGTGGCAAAAAGGAACATGGCTTAAGGCCTTGGGTCTAGGAGGGTGTTGGGTGTGTTTAGGAGGCTCCGGTTCAAGAGTTTCGGCCCCAGGGTTCAGAGTATTGGGTCTAGTCAGTCTGGTCTTCCAGGGTTAGTGAAGCTGAAGCCCGAAGCCTCATCCCAAAGCATTAGAGTCAGTCCTTTGAGCTTCGGGCTGTCGAGGTTTCGGCCGCCTATTTCCTAACGTCTTCCTCCTCTTTGGGGCTTTGCTTACGTACCGCGCCCCCCCTTGCTTCTGGAACCGGGCTGTCGAAGGCGCCCGGTGAGGGGGCAAGTTTTGGAATCGTGGAGTATAGTCTAGCACGGTAGACTTGACTCTAAGGGCCACACACCCCCCGCTGATGTCCCGACTCCCCCTCTCGCGGGCTGAGTGTTTTTCGAAAGTCTCTAGGCTTTTTGGTTTAGGGTTTATACGAGCTTGAGGTTGAGGGTGACCCGACCCCTCCATGCATGATGCACCGACCCCTCGCCCGGTCGAAAGGTCCCATTCTATTCCTATTTTAACCCGCGATAGCTTGAAAGCCACCTCAGAACCCCCAAACCAGAACCAAACTTCCCGAGAGAGCCCGGAAACGGCCGAGAGCTCAGCCCAAGGGAAGTCCTTGTCACCTTTCCGCGACAGGGCCAGCCTTTCGGTCTCTGGTGCTCGATGCTTTTGGGCTCTGGGTTTCGACATGTTGGGGTCTCGAACTCTGAGTCCTCGGAGTTTCGGATCTCCGAGGTGTTCCATTAAGCTGCAAGGCTTCGGATGGATGAGTTGAAAGTTTGGAGATTGAAGGGTTGAGGGCTCCGCTTTCTTTTCCAGTAGGGTTTCCGGGCTTGAAGATTTGATGACGCTGCTTCAAAGTCGAATCAGACTTTGCGAGCCTGAGACTGCGGCCCATGGGAGCTTAGGAGCTTGAAGGGCGTCGAAGGCTTCTTTTAGGATCTTGGGGCTTCGAGCTATATAGTAAGCTCAATACTGCGACACTCTGCAACAGTGACCCTCGGCATTGAACCGCCAAACCGCAAAAAAAAAGCCCATGAACCTGCCATCAAAAGCGCTAAAGGCCCACACGCCCTGAAGAGCAGAAGCCGCAAACTCTAAAGCCACAAGACTACAAAGCGTAGAGGCCTTTGTGATTAGAATAGGCGTTTGTTGGTATATCGCAGGGACTGCAAGCGGAACCGACGAGATGCTGGGACCTCGATAGTGCCCCGCTCCCAACAGATTGCAAGGGTGGTCCTTCGACTGGCGTCCTGCGGGTCCAGCATGTCGTACAGGACCTTGCAGCTGGGGGCTCTTTGCCCGAGTCGCTCGGGTCGGATCGGGACGACTGGAAGGAACAAGGGTCTTCAGGTTTATGGGGCGGGGAGGGCGGCGTCAAGGGCTTGTGGCTGTCAGGGCTTCAGGTTTACATCGTCAACACTGTTTGTGCTTTTGGCGCTTTGGAGCTTTGGGGCTTCAGAGCCCTAAGTGTTTGGGTTCAAAGCTCGGGTGGTTTTTGCCTCCCGGGTCTTGGGTGCTGGGAGCTTGGTGAGTGGCTGGGCTTTGCTTTGCGGCTTCGGGTTTGGCATCTGGGCGCCATGACTCCGCTTTCGTCTATGGCTTCAGGACTTGCAGAACTCTTGCAAGCAAAGTCCGTTGCTTTGCTCTAGTAGGGCTTCGGGTTTTGGATGTTTGGGGCTACGGGCTAAGGTCTTTGTACTCACCCTGTGGTAGAATTGCTCCTGCAGGTATGAGGCTTCGATGCTGGAAACTTCCGGTAGCCTGACCACGAAAAAGCCCGAAACCCCATCAACTACCATGCAGGGGCCGTCGTCAGAGAATATTCTTTGGGGTACGGTATATTGCAACAAGCTACAATGCAACTGAAGAGGGGCCTGGAACTATCCCCAAAAACAAGGCTGCGCACCAAGGTCTTCAGTGCGCAACAACAACGACGACGATAACAGACAGCGGGAGCAACCCTTCGCACTCCCGGTCCCGGAATTTCAGAATCCGGAAGTCCCGGCGTAGCATCTCGACTCTTGCTGGCACCAACCTCAGGGTCTGATTTGGGGGCCAACGGAGTGAAGGTCCCGCCGCTTTCTATGCCTTTTTGAAGGCGGCCGACATATGAAGTCCAAAGAAAAGCGGTTCAGGGTAGGGTCATGCTCAGGAAACAAGGTTGAGAAGACTTGGAACCGGCGCTGTCCTTTGCCAGAGCCGTGCTGAGTGCTTTAAATGCCTTTCCAACACTTTTGAACCCCTAGAAATCCACTATGAAACCTGTATATACAGGGTTCTTACCTGATGCACCTGGGATCTTGAAAGCAAGACGCCAAGATCTAAGACTTGGGTGTCCCTCGACGAGAAAAAATGGCAAGGAGGTGGTGGGCTTATCATGGTTCTAGGTTTGTGGTAAGGGTTTCCTTGCTGAAGCGCCGTGGGCGAAGGAACTTGCAGCTTGGAGTCTAGAACCCCTCAATCGGGTGGCATTTTCCGATCCAGTGTTTGGAGTTTCGGGATGTGTAAGATAGCTAGCTGAGAAGGGCTCACTGTTGAATTTTGGGGTTTGTCTGTTAAGGGCTGAGGGCTCAAGTACGCACTCAAAGCTCGGACTCTGCCAGATGAGGTCTCTCACTTCGTACAGGGACATACTGGGATTCGACGCGAACGACGGCATCGGGCAGTCACTCTAAATTGCAGGGTTCAAGGTTTACGGTCCGGGGTTTCGTGCTTTTGTATGAGTTCGCACATCATTACACCTAATCCTACATCCTAACTGACCCAGGATGCAAGACTCGCAACACCCAGAGAAACGGGTGCCCGGGCCCAAGGGAAGCAAGAGATGCGCATGCTGCTCCATCCCTGGGCCGTGAGGGTGTCGGATCTAGGGCTGATATCCTTTTGAACGAAGCTGCCCGTAAGTTACCATAACGGGAGAAACATATTTGGGGAACTTTCACTTGCTTCCTCAGCGAAAGCCCAGAGAAGTCCCTTCAGGGTATAGAAAACCAAGGCCCCAAAAGGGCCCAGAAAACAAAGCTTCGCTCTCCGGGAGCCCGGCGGCAAAGTGCCATAAGTCCTTGGCACTCAGGGAACGGAGGAGCGTAAACCCAGCTGAAACCCCCACAAACCCTTGGGGTCAAATCCTGACGCCTGAGCCCCAAGTCGGATGGGTTTGGGGCTGTTTGGGGTGTTGGCGGGCTTCGGGGGCATGTCGAAGCACTTGCAACAAATCGCTTGGGAAAGGCTTTTGGGGGTCTAATGAAGGCGGAGGGAAGAGAGCAAGCCATGGGTTGGGAAGTTCAGGGTTCCAGCTTCCATTTCAACGCCGAATAGGTGTGTCCTTGAAAGCAGGGAACGGCGTGGAGTGTGGGCTTGGAGGCTGTGCCGGGTACGTCTGGAACACTGCTGGCAATTAGCACAAATCCGAAAAGCCCTAAACCCTAGTTGAACTCGCTGAATCCTTGAAAGCCTAAAGCCCAAAGGCGCCAAGCCCGGTGGTCGAGGATGTCGGGGTTTGGGCATTCGGGACCAGGCTCCGCTTCGGGTTTCGACTTTTCACGCTCACACTGGACTTCAGGGCCACTCATTGATGGCACTAAGGAGGTACCCTCAGGGTACTAGTCGCGACTAGTCTGGCAGAAGCTCCATCTTGCGGCATCTGAAACTTTGCCGCTGTCCTCAAAGCAACCTGTAGGGGTTCAGGATGCAGATTTCGGGTTTTGGGCTTCTGCAAGCAGGCGTCGTTGCTTGATCTTCTGCGCATCTGCACCTGGGCACTCGAGGGCGCACGAGGTGCGCTCGAGATCTGCTAACCAACACCGGAAACCCCTCGACCTTTGTAGGATCTCAGCCGAACCCGACATGCACTACGCAGTTTGCCTACCACCATTACAGGACTGCACATGAAGAAAACACGACGGAGCTCCATCCGC